AGTAGTTTAGGCGCAGGAATTATTTTTCTTTTTCATAGAATTTACAATATAATAAAATCAAACAGATTATAAATCCAAGATGGCCGCCAAAATGGCGCATTACATATTTCTCCTTAACCCACTCAATATGGGTATGAAATGAAAGGGCTACACTAGTAAAAACACAATTATTATGTCTTAACTTTAAAGTTTTTTTAAATTGATACTTGTTAAATTGGTAACCAAAAGGGGTGCAGCGTTGTGGACCTTTCATCTTGATGATCATTTCATTCAACCTGTGCCGAAAATTTAGTATTATTAGGTTACACAGGAACAGGAAAAAACAAACGACGATCATAATCATTCTACCCTCCTTTGTAGATTTAAAATGCCTTATTTATCGTCGAGTATATGAACAATATCATTTTTCGAAGGCTTTTTAGCTAGTAGCAAAGCTACGCTTGGGCACAGCATAAAAGTGCACCACCCCAGCATTTCTCATATCTCATGTATAGCCTTCCGTTAGAAATCTAATACAGTGTCGGCGTTGCACAGTGTTTGCAATCCACGACGATAGCCTGCATTCGATGCATATTAATGTTTTCGCGCCAAAATTGCTTCAATTTGCACACTACTCTGGCAAATGAAAAATTGTAACGTATTCGAACGAACTTGATACAAAATATTGACATTCATTTGTTTTCGGGAAATAACGTGGCCGAATGCGTCGGTTTCAAACTCTATTTGTGAATTTTGGTTACGTTGTAATTTTCAGTTGTTGTGGTTTAAAAAATACAATTCACATACGGTAATAACTGATTAAAATGCGATTAATTAATAGAGATATTTTCACGGGCAGGTCTTTCACGATCACCGTATTTATCAATTTAAGTAAGAAGTTGTTAGAATTTATTGAAAATGTATAGTCGTGTAAATCCATATATACTACTAGTCTTTCCATGCTCTTGCTAATTGGCAGTTTCTTTAAATAAAATGTCTGTGTTTATTATAAGAATTATTATAAATAACAAGCAGAATTCTTACTCTGTTATTTATAAGACTATATTTGATACAGTGTCTAATTATTCGTAATTTGAGATACAAATCTAAAAGGATCAATACATTGTTGCCCAAGGCAAAGCTAAAAGTACCTGTAGGAACCCGAGAGTCTTTCTTTAGCAGATTCCAAGAATATCTTCAAAATTCAATTACGATTCCAAGCATGCAAAATAAAACGCCTCCCCTATCGAATTTCCGCTTCTCTAACCTAAATTTAAATCAATATCGCTCAAATTTTTTGGAGATTCGCAAACTCATTTGGGATACACGTTCCTTACGCCAGTGTGTTTACTCAAGTATACACACAGGCGTAAGATACACGTACATATACACATGCACATACATATAAATAAAACCGTACATGAACATATTAAGGTAATTCGAAGTGTATTTAACTTCGGAGCGAAATATATTAGAAAATATTTAAATACTGTCTATAGTTTACGCGAGTAGTACACATTTAAATAAAACACTTTAACTGTTTAAAACGCGATATATTAGTTAATCAAATAAGTTTAACTAATATATCGCGTTTTAAACCGTTAAAGTGTTTTATTTAGAAAAATATTTTTTAATTGTTTCATCTAGTCAAAGTATTTAAAACGTCAGGCCGTAGTTAACATAAATTAAAAATCAGTGACTTCATATATTTCGTGATTTCAACCCCTTTAGAAGAAATAAATAATAGAAAACAGTATATATTTAGTTACATACTAAACATCTTTGATGTAACGGTTACTAGATAAATAAATATATGTGCTTATGATAACAAATTTAAAAAATTGTTTATGTTTGTTACTTCTTCACTATTACAACGTCTTGGATTGGTTTCTTTGAGTGGTGTCTATTACTTTAGTAGTAATATAGAGATTTGATTTTTGGGATTTTCAAACTGTTCACCTGTCGTTATGGATAAATCATTTTCTACAGTTCGCCACCACGGTTTGATGACATCATCGGATGTTGCGCAACTAAACAAATTCTTCTATTACTACCTACAATGTCATTAATTTCACACATATAAAAAAGTTTACCCCGCCTCAACCACTTCAATCATTTTCACCAAAACAGAAGTCTGCCAGGTAAAAAATAATTTCAAATAGTCGAACTAGTTATTTGTGTGACAGATTGAGTTGGGTCAAGGAGATCTTAAACGTAGCCGTCACATTTTGCGTGAAGTATCATTTATTTTTCTCGTTTTAACTGATCATCTTTTGTAGGAATATAGTTGTATTGTAGTCGGAATCTTTGTTATAAAATAATAATTCGATATTTTATCTATTCCATACTTTTGAAAACATTAATATTTTTCACATGTTATTGCACATGAAGGCACTATATAGTTTAAAAATCGAAAATAATTTTTTTTTCAATTTATTTTCGATTTTTAAACTATTCCATACTTCTTTATTATATGCTGATAGAGGAGGACAGGTAAGCATGAGGTTCGCTTGATGGTAGGTAAAATCTCAGCCATATAACATCTCAATAAGATGCATTGTCAATCTATTTTAACTTTCGATTATATATGATCACAAAGTTTTTATCAATCTTTTATGTCTATTTGCTTCTTCTTTGAGTTATTAAATTAGGGTTATAAAACTTAAGTATCTTAAATAAACTTGCAAGTTTACTTAAGTTTTTTTTATCCAGTGGTAGAAATGTAAACTACTAGCATCTACAGTGATAATAATTTTCAGCTTTCTGTAAACATATGGACCAGGTCTAGACATCAACACACCACGGATGCTAAATCCTTAAATTGTAAATCCGTATTTTAATTGTTTGGTTGCTATCTGTACATTTCCAAACGACAAATAGGTCGATTATAGGACATTTCTTCCGTCTGTCATCTGTTGTAGAAGAAAACGAAAAGTGTGATTTTAATGAAAAATCTTGAAGCCCAAGAAAATAATTCAAAGCCACGATGCAATGTTTCAGCGAGATTCTTTCAATAAACCATCGTAAGATGACACTAATGCTTGTTCCCTTTAAAATATAGACGCTTTTAAGTCTTTAAGGTTTCAGCTAAAATTTCTGTTACGGCAAGCCTTTATCACAATATTGGCGTTATAAATTACAGCTAAGAGAAAAATACCTTTTGAATTATTTCTTTAACCTCACCTCAAGACATTGTTTGAAGTATTTTCTGTCGTTTGAAGTAGTACCGACATATTAAACGAAATACTTTTATAACGACATCTATTAGATAATTAATTATTAACTGCGACAATGATCTAAACTTGAACTATTGTTTTAAACTGTTAAAAGTGTTACATAAAGACACTTTTTTACTATGAATCCTTACCTTTCTACGCTGCGTTAAGGTCGCAAGACAAACACAATTGTCCATACAGCGTTTTATATAGCTTTAGTTTAAATATTTGTTTGAACTGAAACGTGGTTCCGACTCAACAATTTACATATGCATACGAAACATTATCCTTGTAATTAAATTTACAAACATTTAACTACACAATAATCGTGAATAACATAAAAGTTGATGTTAGTCTTTAATTTTAAATTTGCTTATTTAACTGAAGCTATTTGTACAAAGCAAATATTTTCAGCAAATCGGTTAACATAAAACACCAGATATTACGGACGAGTTTAAAATTACAGTTTTAATTACATTGAAATAACTGTGCATAAGCTCCGCCGGTTCAGTAATTTATACCGTAGGAGATGCTGAAAGTGAATTGAGAATTTTTTCAATTATCTCATCTCTTCTTGATTTTTACATCGCAACCAAACAGAATATAAAAAAGATGAAATTCTATTTTTAAAAACCTCATTTTGTTTTGGCTTAAACGAAATAAAATAATGTAAATTTATATTGTGTATTTCACCTAGTCTTTTTCACATAAATGTGCATATACATATACAAAATGTATTACATATACATATACAAAACTTGTGACGCTGTTGTAGCGTGAAAGAATATCGAACATCTTCATAAACATTTTAAATAATTATATAACCTGAGTTGATGGATTGCATACTGCTGTATATAAAACACACTTAAACGGTATATATTAGTTCAACTTATTTGAAAATTATTCCGAAACGTCGGGCCGTTGTTAAAATAATTTTCAAATAAGTTTATTTAATATATATCGCGTTTTAAACCGTTAAGGTATTTCATTTGACGAATTGTTTTAATTGTAATATCCTGAATTGAAATGTATTGTATTGCCTTCATACGATTCGGTTCAATTTAATTTCAAGATTTTTCAGCTCTCGAACTGAATGCATTTCGCTTCCGTATATCTGCGCATACCATCTTAATACGCTTAATGAGCGTTTATTGCGCCAAATTATGCAGATGAATTATTTAAATACCATCTTCTATATTTCCCCTTTAGTGCTGCATCACTAATTGCTTTCATAATGGCCAAGCAATTTTTCTGAAGATATTTCGTCGATAATATTTTTTCAGATTGTATTCAAATTCGAGCAGAAAAGTCTAAAGGGAATCAAATGTTTTTAATTACTATTTGAATGTTAATTTATTTCTTTTCGCAAACGTTTCGTCGTAGTGGCGAGAGTGTTTTTTAACTACGAAAGATCTGCTATAGACTACACTTGATTTGTTACTCGCTTTATAGAAAGGTTAAAAGACACTACAACTAATAAATTATAATTCACTAGAGTCTAGACTCCCCTCCGTCTTGAATCTCGTTCCTAAAGAGTGTGTGTCAGAGTTCGAACGCAATAGCAATTTATACCCCAGTTAATTGTCATTTGTTAAACAGTCTACTTGACCAGTCAACAATATTATGCAACACGCCTTTGTCACGTGTCAGACAGTGAAGTCTATATATAACTATATCTATGTAACAAATTCTACAAAGAAAACTAACGGCCAAAAACTTGAACATAAATTATATTTGTAAAAAAAATCTACTATCTTGAGCCAATTATTATTTACTCGTAAAATCAAGGTAACTTTTTCTTTGCAGTTGTTCAAGAGGAGATTACATAAAGGTGTACTGGGAAGTTCAAGGTCCTGGCCCGCCTGGCGCGATCAACGAGAGATCAGGATGGGCGAAGCAGCTGTGCGGCGGACGAGCTGACATCCCGCCCGCCCTCTACTCTCCAGGGCAATCGTTGGTTATTGAGTTCCACACCGGAGCTAGGCAGAACAACGCGACCGGCTTCTTGGGGACATATAGCTTCATTGATAAACGTAAGTCTTCAACTTTATTGTTTTTGAAAATAGAATAGATATAAGTCTACTTGAAAACAATTGCGGAATTAGTATCGTAACGTTTAAGTCTGTATATTGTATAGATAAAAAAATGCGTTTTTTTATTATTTTATACACTTATCTTCGTAGAGTATAGTTTCAAAATACCATATACCCACAGACTATCTTCGCTCGAAAGCTTTTTCAAACATCGAATTGTATTGACCTTACTTTTATAATCTGTGCTGTTATATTGGCTACACTTAGCAATTAACTTTCCTTTTTCTATGACCTAATAAAAGCTATATGTTATGATCGAATTAAATACAATAATTTATTACAACCATTTACAGAGTAGTACGCTACAAATAGATTTACCGCATAAAATTTGATTGCATTAAATTAATATTCGTGCAAGTATCATTTGACCCGATTGCAATTATTTCGAGATCATCTAAAATAATAATTAGCATCATATTATAATAATACATTAGTGAACTAATAAACGACAAATCATATTCATTTTGGGTGACAAAATTCCGTGATACGCAGTGTTACACACCGAAGTATAGCTTTCTACTCGTGGAAGTTATGTGCATAATAGTTTTTTTTTTAAAGAAAGACTTTATTTCTATTTTTTAAACACTGTCGCGAGTAGTAAACGCCTAAAACACTTTAACGGTTTAAAACGCGATATATATTAGTTTTTGTTAGTTAGTTTAAAAAAATATTAACTTCGGCCACTAGTTATCAAACACCTGGGATATTAAAAACTCTGGATCCCAATATACAGCATACCGGCAAACGCGAAGACACCGTCAGTCAATTTCGAATGTCAATAGTAAATAGTAATAGTAATTAGTTTAACTTATCTTATCATACGGAGGTGGGCGCTGGCTCCTGTGCCACAGCTTTACAGCTACTTCAGGCGCCATCGAAATACTCAATTTGTAAATAGGTTTTAAGCTAAGCTAAATAAAGCTAAATAAATAAATAAAAATTCTGTAAACCGGCCAAATAAAGTAAGTTTGCCAAATACCAACTTTGACGGAATAGATGGCGCTAGCGTAGCAATTTTACATAGACGTCAGGGACATCCTTCATCTTTAGTCTCTCTGTGACCACGGCTTGCAAAGCATCCTCAATGACGGCCAAAGTTTAAAAAAAAATATTTTTTTTTATTATCAAGAAATTTAAAAAAATAACACTTTCAATAACAAACGCTTTCTGATATTATATGTTGCAGTTGTTAAGTTTGTAACGACCAGCTGTGCCACAGAGTAAAAATGTCACCCTTACAAGAAAATGCATTTCTGTTATGGCATATGCTATTATCGTTAGCCATGACGCCAAGAGTATGTAGAAATACTGAAACCTGATGATGTTGTAGAATAAATTGGCATTCGTTACAATTATAGCAATAACCATGAGTGTTGTAAGCGCACTCGGACTTGGCCAAATGGGTGAATGCCAGATGCTTCGTTGCTGACTTGGCAAGTTTCCTAAGGAAAATTTAGCTACGTTTTTAACTTGAATAATCAATCGGGGAGACAGATGTCTTTTTTCCCTTTGTTAAAAATGCGTACAGCTTTAATGACATTTTTATTGACAACTAGCTGTTTTAGCGATAACATCCATCACCGATAGTTATTACAGGCATCAACATTGTTTTTGCAAGCCACATCTTTATATATTATAGCTGATACCCACGACGTCATCTGCGTCACGTTGTTTTTGCAAGTTAATCTTTAAAGATACCCATATCGCAAATATTTTCTAGATTATTTACTAGATATTTTTTGCATATATATTTTTAGGGTATCTTGAACGGTTATCGCAGCTTACGCAACGGAAACCCGCAAGGATGAATAATTTTCCTTTTTTTTCACATTTGCGTTTCTTCGCACCTATTAGTCACAGAACAATGTTTTAACCGATACAAAAGTAATTCTTGTATTTGAAATTCTTCAGCTCCATACATTAGTAATTAGTATAGATCTACGATATAATGTCTTCTTAATTAGGGCATTTTCAAATGACAATAGCCTTTTTGTAAAGTTCCATTTATTACAATATTTACGTATAAATATATGTCTGTATCTCTTCAAATAGTTCCTGAAGAGATACAAGTGGGTCCATTAATCCATCAAAGCGATCCTAGTGACATCAATGTTGGAGATCAGACCCGTATTGGTGTTAAACCTGGGATCAATGATTGAGGTCTCGGCTTATCACTTACCCATCTTTGGCATGTCGATCGATTTAAACGCTTCGAATTTAACGTATTGTAGTCGCATGTGCACAAGGAATGCCTCTTGTCGTATTTACTTAAATATTAAAAATTTGGGTAATACAAACTTACGAATTTATAAGTTGATCGTGTTTATAGCTTGCACATGAGAAATAAACTTACTCTCATCGTTACTATTTTAGACAATTTTTCAACTTATAATAATATATCCTATATAATAAAATATCCTGCGTGTTAACAGTGAAAGCAAACACTTAAACAAGCCGTTAACAAAAATCAATAGAAAACTTTTTCAGAAAGTTCAGTATTAACTTATTTTACATTTTTTTTTTCTGTATACACGTAGAAATTTAATTATTATCATTCCATTTTTAAATTCGCGGTTTCTGTAAACCTGCCACGAACATCCGAAAGGGAAACTTGAAAGGAATCTCGTTCTTAGACCGAAGGAGCTTAATTACAAATAGTTTTTCAACTCTCTCAAGCTAACACTACAAAGGTGAGTTCCAGGGCTGCCTCCCATGTTGAACGAGCCTCCACTCTAACAAATGGTTCCAAAGTCAAATAGTCGCTTCCGCTTTGTCGGCTCCTATAGGCATTTCACGTGTCAATGCACGCTTGATTTTATCTATCCTTTGTCTAAAGCGTAAGCCGATAAAATGTGGACAGAAAGGGGATCAAGTTTGGCCTATTCTCCAAAATGTAGGTGAAAATAATACGTGCTAAAATTAGAATACGAAAGGAATTAGTGTAAAACTGTTTTCCCTATCTGGGGAACGAGGCAGACAATTTTCTTTGTCTAAATAAGATTCTGTGCCTTGCCCGGCTGAACTTTTTTGTTGTAAGCTCGTAACCAGAACCCGTCCTACTTAATTGACCTTCTATTAAGCGGGACGTGTATGTAAATCATTGAGCCTCGTCCATGATCTACCAAATTGGATATATTTTTTTTTAATTCACAGAGTGTTAGGATCCTGGGACTTGTAGTCAAAGTATAATGCGATTTAAATTTAGAGTCAGAAAATAAAAGTGACGTTGTATTCAAGTGTCTGAATTTTTGTTTTTGTATTTTGAACGAATCAGATGCACAGATGCGTCCTTTTAAATTACGAAAAGCAAATACGACTCTTAACAGGAAGCGAAACAATATCGCCTAAAGAATTCGCCTTCTTAAAACAAGAATAAAGCCAATTTCAACAAGGTATATTCCAAATCTTACGCTTTAAAAGTCGGAAATTCTATAAAATCGGTCGCAAGGGAAATCTTGTTAACTGAGCATTTTATAAGCACATTGTCTAGCTTCCCCGCGGATTTCCAGGAAATTTATTTAAAAATATAACAGATCCACTCTTCCATTTTTAAAACCTGGGAAAATGCAAGTAACACGAAGCTAACTTCTTTAACAAGTGTCGGGAACGCTTTATAAGTCTATATTGAAAAATTATAGTATAATTTATGTTGCGTTTAACTTCACTCATTTATTTTATACAAGTTTTTACTGAATGAAGCATTTTAATGCAACTTGCACCGGTACGAAAATTAAATTCTAAATTCAAAATTTAGAAGTAAACCTCCTCGTAATAAAGTTGTCAGAATCTTAAAATGACTTTTTATAGCGTTTTACTTTATTAATTATAAACTTTATGTTTTCCATTGCAGTTTTAATTAAAAGTTTGAGCTATACTCAGTCGTTTAAAATTTAAAAAAAAGTTATAACCACACACAACACGTAAAAAACAAACAACGCATTGCGCATGAAAGATATGCAAATTTCTTTGGTAGGATTTATAGCTGAGATGCGTAGACGGATTACTCTGACGTTTTGACGAATTGACGTTTAAATTGTCTTAACAGAAGTGACATTGTGTAAAAACTTTCATTTTTCCTAAAGTAAATTTGGGCGTATTATCTGTAGTTTGTAGGAGTATTATTATCTATGTCTGTAGTTTACGCGAGTAGTCCACATTTGAATAAAATACTTACCAGTTTAAAATGTGATATATAATAGTTAAACTTATTTAAAAATTATTTCAGAGTCCCTGCTGCAAAGCATCCGAAACGTCAGGCCGTAGTTAAAATATTTTTTAAATAAGTTTAACTAATATGTATCGCGTTTTAAGCCGTTAACCGTCTTTAATGTAAAGTATTATCTATTTATGAAAATGAAAATTGAGTCACGCGGTCCAATTACAGCGCGACCTGTGGACCTTTGTCCAGCGGTGAACTTAAAATAGTCTAATCACTATAAATCCCTCTCACATTTCTTTGGTCTCATTATTAACAATCTACAGGATTATCATGAAGTAAAGTCGCGGTCAAACAATACGAATGGCAAGAGCCAGTTACAAATTAGCTAGCAGTTGTTCCAAATCCGAGCTTTAACGGATTTCATTTAGACCAAAACCGGGTTCTACCTAATTTTGCCAACGGTTTAGTTCTAGTGTTTGAATAAACTTCTAATAATTTCGCTAGGTTTGTCTATTACGTCGATATTTTAATACTTTGCGGTCTTCAATTTAAATTAAGAATATAATTCTCAGGTAAAGTTTGAAATTCGAATATAATGTGCGCTACGACGATATTAATTATGTTGTCATTCGTAGCGTACTAATAAAACAGCTAGGCTAATTACTTGCTCCTTGCAATGACAAAATTACGTCGTTAAAAATAAAAATACACTTTCCAGACTTTTTATAATTTAAAATTCTCAAAGAAACAGCGGAAGGACTGAATAAGCAAACTTACCTGTTCAACATCTTCTAAAATTCTCAGGCTGTATTTTCAATTGAAGCATTGTCTTTTAGTGGATTGCAAATGATTGTTGTTTCCGTTTTTTATTGGTGAAGTTAAATCTATGATTTTCCGTTACAGCAAATGGGCATGCCGAGTTGTGACGATAAACAATGATCTGCACATTTTTTTTCTGTAACGGATTTATATATATATATATATAATATTTGTCACATGTATTGCACATGATAGCATTTTTTTTTAAATATGTAGATAGATGTATTTTAATTTATAATGCAGTGGTTCATAATGTTGATCAAGAGTCATATTGTTTGCCATATTTTTTGTCGGTATTGATAAGTTTATCTATGTCATCCACGTGCTTTGACCTTCGTGGTCGAATGGTTGAACACGTAGCCTACTAGAACGCTTCCGTAAGACCAAAGGATTTCCTTCATCATTGATGGTTAGAAGCCAGGCAAAATTACAAAAATTTTCGGTCACGAAAAAAAATGTAGAACTTGTTTATCAGTTACTTTTAGTATTTGATCAGATCAGTGAAACAGACATATACGTGTGTCCTTGTGCCTTATTAAGCAAAATCCCATTTCCTCCGAAACAACATTGTTTAAAGTGATGCTTATCATAATAAAGCAATATTTTCCCATTCTATATGTAAATTTAATATATTTAATTAGTGGCGTAATATAAATTCCGTATGTTAAAAAACTCATCATACCCCTATAGCATGTATTTCACGGTTCTACAACTTCAAAATTCTTAATGAGTTTCCGCCTTTCAACGCACCACAAAGCGTTCACCTATCAGCCTATGGATTAGCAGGAAATTACGTACCAACTTAGTACACAAACTCTATGAAGTTTTAATCTAGGTACATTTCAAATTAAACGGATTACGGTTTTAACGCATCTCATCGCTTCAAAACCTAAATGATGTCTTCGTTAGTAGCTAACATAGCTAACTGGCACTTTAGAAGTGAAGATTGATGTTAACATTAATATTTTTCACATCTTATTACACTATATAAATTAAAAATCGATTAAAAATTGAAAAACCAAAAATTACAACGTAATTTTCGCGAGACGTATCACAGATTGAAAAAAATTGTTGACGTGTATAACACGGTAGCTCAATAGGTTGAAGCTACAGCATGGAAAACTGTGGATGCCGGTTCAAGTCTTGTTTCGTAATTGTTTTCAATCTAAAATCGATTTTTAATTATGAAATAAAAAAGTACCTTAATTTTAAGGCAAAGTTTCTTATTTTATTTCTAAGTTAACAAAAACCTTGCGTTTAAAAAAAGGATCATATATTATTTATTTATTTAATTAACGAAAACACTTCTATTATTTTAAACGCTTAGAATGTTATTTCAAGAATGTTTATCTGTAAACTTTTCAGCTATTATATACACCCAATGAGTGTACAATTCATGTTGGCATTTCAATTTTGTAACCCATACTTTGCCTAAATGATCCACTTTCCATTCCGTCATTGTCGGTCGTGATGCTAAGGTACTGTTTAGACAGAGATATATAACATAGCTCCAGGTGTGGGAAATCCTCAACAAACATTTATCTAGGCTGAAAGAATTGCCCTTCAAACGAAAGTGTGTTTTCCTGCTTAAAGAATAAGGCACATTTTCTATTGGAATTCATCCTGTACGTGATCAAAGAAGACCATAGTTTGCTTTGAAAAGAATTCTGTAAAGAAAACAGCGTTGATTGGAGGCAATCCTGGCATTTGATGTGTCACACTAATGTTGTTTTGTTTAGACTTTTTTTTTTAAATTAGAATGGTGTTACTTAATTATTTAATTACCCCCTCATATTTTTTACTACTAATCTACCTTTATGTCTATCTATAGACATATACTGTTGCGGACATTTTATAGATCACTTCAAGAGGAATTATATATTTTTCATACATATTTTTTGAGTATCTCCAACCGTTTACGCAGCGTACGTAACGGCAACGCAAAACGATAAATAACTTTCCCTGTTATTTCGCTTTCATTAGTCGCAGCGCGATGTTTTATAAACTATAGCATCTCCTCGATGTATGTTCTAACTAACACAAAGAAGTTTCCAATTCGAACAGTAGTTCCTGAGGTTAGCGCGTTAAAACAAACTCTTCAGCTTTAAAGCTTTATAATATATTAGTAGAGGTAATAAATAAATCAGACTCACGAGGGAGGTCAACTGCGGTATCACAAGT